TATTCACACTGTGTGGCTTTCTTGAAATATTTTTTTTATTTTATACTCCGGTGAAACTACAAACAAGATGTCAATAGCTTATGTGGCATTCACAGCAGTGTAGCTTAGAGTATCAGCTGCAGTACAACAAATGCCAGATTGCATTTGCCTCACCAAAAGTAGGCTTCATCTGGGACATCTGAGGCACAGGCTTAGCATTTAGACTAGGTAGTGGTGTTTGGCTTTATATTTATTGACCCACATAGGATTTAATCCATAAAAACCAGCCATCACAATGTTATTACAGAAAGAAGTGACAGTGAGGGATTGTTCCAGGCTCTGAATTGTTGTATTAAGTTCTGTCATTTGGGGATATATTGTTTTTAAAAAATTATGTTGTTTGTGTGTGTGTGTGTGTGTGTGTGTGTGTGTGTGTGTGTGCGCGCGCAAGTGTTTGTGTGAGTACATGTACCATGGACAGAGGACAACTTGTGGAACTCAATACTCTTCTTCCATCATGTAAGTCCTGGGATTGAACTCAGGCTGCAGGGCTTGGTGGGAAATGCATGTATCCATTAATGCATCTCACAGGTGCTTTTTAGGAACATTATTAACTCAGGTATTAGACATGATGTGTTATATCTAAACCTTAGAGTTTATTTCTTAATATCTTTAAAGTTGACCGATTTTATAAATCTGAATAATTTTGAGAAATAACAGTGATTGTCTTGACTTTAAGTGTATTGGAGATGATTTTTGTGGCAAACTTGGACAGTATGCAGACATCTTTATGCCCATCTACTTGATATATTTATATATTTTCTGTTTTCTCATATAATATATTCATATATGCACACATATACATGCTTACATAAATACACGCACACATATTTAAATATGTTTGAGAAAGGATTTCTTTGTGTAGCCCTGGCCATTCTGGAACTTGTGCATTAGATCAGGCTAGCCTCCTACTTAGAGATCTGCTTGCTTCTGCCTCCTAAGTGCTTAGATTAAAGGCGTGTGCCACTACCGCCCAGCCTGTTTTCTTATATTAAACGGTGCTTTTCTTTGTTATATATTAATAAAAGAAAACTGAGTGAGGAATATAAATCTGTGTTTTGGAAACTGAAAAATGTGACTCAGTGCCAGTTTGGTTTCCGTTAAAAGTTAAAAGTCTGCAAAGCAAAGGATATATCAGACATTAATCTAGATTAAAACAAGATCCACCCTGAATCATTAATTCACTTAGCATCTTCTTGAATAATGGTATCCAAAGGTGATCCTGCCCTGTAGCTGGGAATTTCCTTTAAAGGCTAATGCAGAAGAAGGTGTGCCATCTGCTCAGACAAAATGAACTGTCAGGAAGCAGGCAGCAAAGCACAGGAAGACCTCAGAGCAACAGACTTCATATGAAGCTACTTTGGAAACAAAGCTTGGGGGACATCTGGGCTCCTGAAGTGGGACAACACTTCTTCAGTGTTTCAGCCTTTTCATCTGATGGGAACTACTAGTTAATAATTTAAATATTACTGTGCACATAAAAAGATGTATTGCTCAGATTCTTCTTCAAGAATTTGCCACCTACTACAAGAGTGGCATCAACTGGTACCCTTGGCTGTTAGTGCCTTCAGCTTTCCAGCCCTGGTTATACTTTTCTTTCCACGAGCCTGGAACATAGAGTCTCAATTCTATTTGTTTGGGACTTTGCCTTAGAGCTCCCTCTCAGCTGGCAATGGCTCCCCTGCTCATCCTGTTTTCTTCCCATTCCTTCCCTGGTGCTCCTCTTCTGCCAATTGTTTCTAATAACCCAATTGTAACATATTTTCCAAAGACCTTATCTTGCAAAGATTACTATTAATTTATTACCAAAGACACTGACTGACCTTGGCCCTCCTGTGGGTCTAGGTGGCTCTTGAGTTGTTGGTTTGGCAGCAGCCTAGACATGGCATCCTTCATGTTAGTCCAGTTCCAGAGTTGCTGGTGCAGATGATGCTTTCCAGCTGGCTGTGGTTATTTCTCTCTGTAGGCTCCCAGGTATTGTATTCCAGGGTGTGGCAGGGCTTGGGTGTGTGTGGGTACAAGGGGCATTAATGATTATGTCCTTTTGGTAGGACAAGGCTCATGTGAGTTTTTGTTGTCATGCTATAAAGCAGGACTTCCTAAACTTTTTCTATTCATGATCCCCTTTTGTCAGAGAAATTTGTACTCTACCTTGGGTATATAGGTATAAAATGGGTATCCCAATGAAACATTTTGTGATAATAGACCACAAACTTATTTTAAAATAGTCATTTGATATACATGTAGTTTTACCATTTATTAGAGATGGAATCATGTTTGCATAATGATAAGACAGATGTGCTTATTTTTACCTTAAGAATTAGATTTTAACAAAATATTTGAAGTAAGATATAGAGTCTTCAGTTTTTCACAGTTGATCACTGTTTTTACTTTATGACTGTCAATGTTGAGAATGCCACTCTGCATAAGTGCAAACTGTAAAGTAGCAGAAATACAGTAAGGCCATTTCAGAAATTGCTAGGAATTCTGTCCTAATATTGTGCCAAATTCTTATAAACTTAACCAACAGTTTAAAGAATCAAGCTCACCAATGCAATAGAAACCAAAGATGCACAAATTTAATGCTTATGTTCTGAGGAATGTTTGTGGGAAAATAGTGAAAATCTTTGATGCCCATAATTAAACCATTATGTTTCTATAGGAGCAAAAAACTTTGTGTACTTTGTAAAAGCACTACAATTCATAAATATACAATAGACTCAGATCTGAGCTGTGGGGTTTCAGGTAGCATTTGCTGGCATTGCATGCAAAGTACAGAGTGTGTGTGTGTTGTTTGTTTTGAACCAAGTCTGCGATAAAGTTGTGCACTGCATCTTGGTCATGCACTGCTAGCAATACCTTAGATTCATTACATGTTTGATTTTGGATTAATTTTTGGTTGTTGCTTGTTCAGAAACCTTGTACTTTTGCCAACGTTTTGTAACTCCTATACTGTTAGGTGATGTTATTTGGAATTGCACCTCGTAGTTTAAGAAACTGGCTTATAGAGAACTGACTTTTTAGGGATAAGATGTGGCTCAGTGGGAGATCACTTGCTTAGCAACTGTGAGACTGTCAGTGGTAATAACTGACTTTTACATCTTCTGATTCCCTTTTAAATGTATTTTATTTTTAAAGCTGTGCATGGTGGCCTATACCTTCAATCCTAGCACTCAGGAGGCAGAGGCAGGTGGATTGCTGTGAGTTCAAGGTCAGCCTGATATACATAGTGAGTTCTAGGACAGCCAGGGCTACATAGAGATACTGTCTAAAAACAATCATGTATGTGTATATGTATGTTTGTATTAGTTAGGGTTTCTATTACTGTGAAGAGACACCATGACCACAGCAACTCTTATAAAGGAAAACCTTTAAATGGAGTGACTCACTTATAGTTCAGAGGTTTAGTCTATTATTGTCACATTGGAAAACAAGGCAGCATGCAGTCAGACATGATGCTAGAGAAGGAGCTGAGAGTTCTTACATCTTGACTCACAGGCAACAAGAAGTGGTCTGCGACACTGTGCATGGCTTGAGCATATATGAGACCGCAAAGCCCACCCCCACAGTTTCATACTTCCTCCAACAAGGCCATCTTACTCTAACAAAGCTATACCTCCTAATAGTACCACTCTGTATGAGTTTATAGGGGGCCAATTACATTAAAAACATTGTAGTGTCTGTGTATGATGTTTGTGTGTGTGTTTAAGTGTTCATTTTTGCATGCTTATATGTGTGACTACAGGTATGCACATGCCACAGTGTGCACCTGGAAGTCAATGGACAGTTGTTGGTTCTTGCTTTCTGCCCAGTTTGAGGCAGGCTATCCTGTTGTTCACAACTGCTTACAGCAAGCTAACTTCCGGAGATTCTGCTTGCCTCCCATATCCTTGTAAGAATGCTGGGATTATAGACTCATGCATCTGCGGGATGCAAGAATAGGAATTTCAACTCACAATGATAATGTATTACCAATGCCAATAGATATATTTTAACTATTTGCAGTTTTCTATATTAAAAGAAAAGTAGTTGCTAGGACAATGAATTGGCTTAGTGGGCAAAGGTACTTGCTGCCAGCCTGACAACTCACTCCAATCTCTGTTAGCCACTGTGTAAAGAGAAAACTGATCCCCATTGTTGTTCTCCAAATATTTTAACTAGTTATATTAAAAATAAAAGGAATCTTATAATTTAAGTATAATTTACCACAATGTATTCTAGAATGGGGATTTGAGGAAGGTCATTCTCATCAATTTGGGCTTTAGTTTTTTTTTTTCTTTCGTAAGCATAATAAAATCTTTAAAGTTGGTTGGGAATCCATAAATGAATATAATATATTTTGATTAAATTCATTCCATTTTCAAATTCTCCTCCAACTCCTCCCTTACACCTCTCAACTTTGTGTGCTCTGTCTTTAAATCCATGGATCACGTAGTGTTTCTTGTATGAGCATGGACATAGGACCATCCATTGGAGCATAAGTAGTCTCCAGGAACCATATCCCTGAAGAGCAGCTGACTCTCCCTCGCTCAACAGCCAGCTTTTGGTAATGAGGACTACTTTATTAGTCCATTCCTCTTTTTCTTCTGAAATTTATTTGTTGTCCACTAATGGATGCTTTCATAAGTACAGTCCTAAAACTGGCCAGGCAGTGGTGGCACAGGTTTTTAATCCCAGAACTCGGGAGGCAGAGACAAGAGGATCTCTGTGAGTTTGAGGCCAGCCTGGTCTACAAGAGCTAGTTCCAGGACAGGCTCCAAACCTTCAGAGAAACCCTGTCCCAAAACAAGAACAACAACAACAACAATAGGCCTACTTGTAGGCATTAACTTTATGAGATTCTTACATACATATTAAATTTATATTATACTTATTTATTTATTTATGTGTTGAGGGGGAGGTGAGTAATATGGGTCTATCACAAAAATTTACTTAATTTTTAAAAAATTTTTATTTTGTAGAAAATACTGCAGTTTCTACCTGAACGAATTTTCTTTCGATGGCATTACCAGAGTATAGGTAAGATGAAAGCGAACAATGTATTAGTGATATGAATTTCTACCAGTTGAGGTCCCAACAATGCTTCATATAACTAATACTATCAAAGTAGTGTATAGAAAGAATTAAAGGTATGGTAATTTAAATCAAGTCCAACTTGGACTTTGTAGGAAGATCTCTCTCACCACCACCACTGATTGAGTACAGAGAATAAGTGATTGGAGTGTTCCGCCCTGAATGCATCATTTATACCATATCTCTCCCATGAAAGGCACAGGAAATAGCTTCTAAGAGGGCATGGAAGGAGTGTAAGAGTCAGAAGTGGAGGAGGGCTGTTGTAGTCACGAACTCACAGTGACTGCAGCTGCCTGCACAAGATCAAGTCTGTTAATATTATAGGATGGGTTAAAGAAATATTATAGGATGGGTTAAAGAAAGCAAAGGTGCTATAGTGGGAGGGGTCCAGCAGGTAGTGGGAAAAGAGATTGTATATGTGTATTAAAATTTCAATTAATAAATTAAAAAAAAATCAAGTGTTATTTTAAATGTACCCTTTGAGGTGTAGTCCACGGGCTCCCCAGGAACATGCTAAAGATGCACGATTTCAGGCCTTAGTCTGACCTACTGAGGAGCATGGTGGTCTTCTAACAAGAGACACAAAAGGATTCCTATGCACATCAAGTTGAGAAACACTGATCTAGAGTATTTTTTTTTAAATAATTGTACATTATTCCTTACCAAAAAAATTATTCTTTAAGCCTGCATTATTGATACAATATTTCTGTGTTTGAATGCTTTAAGATGTGGCAGCCAGAGGGAACTTGAAATAAAGCAAGTAACATTGCTGTCCTTTCTGCCCAGCTCTTTACATCTGACAGCACAGTTGCAATTTAAAATGCCCAAGCTGCCCCATTCCAGGGAACCCACTGTGAATTCTGCATGTTCTTTATAAAGAGTTCCTGCTTTTGTCCTACCTGTAAGACTCTGTCACTTCATACATTTTTTTTCTTCTTTACCCGTTGGCTACACTGGAGGAAACCATAACCCTTGGAATGGAATCTTCTTTATTTGATATTTTCTTTCACTATTTATTGAGGGAGAGACAAACCTTTGGGGGCAGAAACAAAGGGCATGCCACCATTCCTGCTTTGGAGGGGCCTCTCACCCATGGATAGATGAGAAAAGTAATTACAGTGAATTGTTGCTGTGTTGGGACTATAGTGCAAGGGAGAAGAAAGGTAGATGTGTCTACCCAGGAGAAGTTGAGGGGACCCTTCAAGAGAAGTCACTCCACCTGAGCCTTGAAAGGTGAGCAGGGCTTCGTGGCCTGAAAAAAGATAGCATCATCAGTAGATAGTCCAAAATTCAGAGTTCTAATTTTAATTTAAGATTATTTCTATGAAAATAGGTAATAAGCTCTTACAGAAACTGAATTTGAGTTTTGTGTTCAAATTTAAATTTTTTTTTTTTTGATTTTCGAGACAGGGTTTCTCTGTAGCTTTTGGTTCCTGTCTTGGAACTAGCTCCTGTAGACCAGGCTGGCCTCAAACTCACAGAGATTCGCCTGCCTCTACCTCCCGAGTGCTGGGATTAAAGGCATGCGCCACCACCGCTCGGCCTCAAATTTAAATTTAAAGAATATAAAGCATGTACACTAAATACAACCACGGAACTTAGTGACTGAATCTTTATTCTGAGAGAGCTCCTTAATCTTTAAATCTTTCAAATAAGCAAAAAAAAAAATCCCTTATATCTGAGAAGGTTTGCCTAGCACTTCTTGAAGCTTTGCAATTACTTATTTAAAATAGGATAAAAAAATTAAAACTCCAAAATATCACCTAAAGAGGTACCCTGAGGACTTGTGAGATTCTGTGGTGTGGTAATGAGAGTAACTGTGTGCAGCATTTTTGGCTGTTCAGGTAGCATCGTCATGGCCAGGATGAGCTAACCAGGGCACCCTACTTATCTAAGTTTGTGAGGGAATGGCTGTAAGTCATGCTCCTGTGAGCATGGAGCCAGTTCTCTTGGTTAAGCAACAGCCCCACAGCTTGGCCTTTTTTTCACCTTGGTCATCTGAAACCTTACTTTTCTTGGAGACACTTCTGTCTCAGGATCATGGAGATGAGGTCATGGCCTTTCTTTATGTAGTGCTAATTCCAGAAATGGCTCAGCACCCCTCTCCTTGGACTATGCCAGCTCTGTACAATGTTGTCTCATCTCTCTTTTTCTTGATGGTCTCGTTCTTTCCCTGTCTTTCTCCTTGTTGCCTATAAGCTCATTGCCCCTCTCCTCCATCCTCAAGCGGCTTCCTGCCCCCCCTTTTTTTTATCAGATAGATTGTTGTCTGATCACAGACCTCCATCCTGCTAGTCTCTTCTTACCTCCTCACTTCTAGGTCACCTGTTCTGATTTTTATTATTTATTTTTATAAAACAGTTTTATTGGGGGCAGAATAAAAAGAATATATAAAAATTATCATGATTGTAGCATCACCCCAAATTTCCTCAACCTCCTTAGTAGCTCCTCTGTTCCCCTCTTACCTACCTCAGCCTCAACCACTAATACGGTTTCACAAGATTCCCAAGGTATGACACCGAAAGTAAAACCCGTAAAAGAAAAATTTTGATAAATTGGATTTCTTCAGATCCACCACTGGTCTGTCTTTGTATTTTTTAGTCTTATTTAGATGGAATCACACAGCACTGTTCTTTTTGTTTGTTTGGTATCTGCCTTAAAGTTATTACTGTGATGAAATACCATGACCAACTTGGGGAGGAAAGGGTTTGTTTGACTTACATATCCTGGATGGCTGAGGGAAGCCAAGGTAGGAACTCACACTGGAGTTGATTCTTGCTGACTTGGTCCTCATGGCTTGCTCAGTCTTCTTTCTTATAGAATCCAGGACCCACCAGCCTAGGGTGGTAAGATCTACAGTGGGCTGATCCATCCTGCATTTCCCACCAGTTAGGAAAATCCTCTATAGGCTTGCCTACAGCCTGAGGTTATGGAGGTATTTTCTCTATTGAGGTCCCCTTCTCTCAAATGACAATAGCTTGTATCAAGTTGACTCAAAACTAGCTAGCACAGCATCTTTTATGCTCTATTTACTTTGAGATTCATCTGTATGCTATGTACTAATCGTTCATTCCTTTTCATTTCTAAGTAGAACAGTATTCCATTGTATAGCTTTGCTATCATCTGTTGATCCATTCTCTTAATGATATAGTGTTCAGTTGATTCTCATATTTGGCTGTTATGCATAAACCTACTGTTAGACATTTGTGTACAGATCTTTAGGTAGGAATAAGCTTTCCTATCTCCTCTACAGCACACTTAACTGATAAATTGTTTTTTTTGCAGAGTGGCTGATTCATTTTATGTCCTCAGTAGTGTCATGGTCCAGTTAATAGCAGGTGTTACGGTCAATGTTTAGTTTTTGGCTGTGCTATCTCATTGACTTATGGTCTTAAACTTTTGTTCATAGAATTTCTGTGTCTCTGGTAACATGTGTTTCAAGGCTACCCGTTTAAAAGTTGCATTGTTTTATTTTCTCAATTTTTGTTTTTGGGGTTCCAATATTTTAGATGGAAGTCTTATCAGATATATGCCTTGGAAATATTTTCTCTATATTTTGAACAATGTTTTTAATTTTTGGAGAAGTCCAATTTACCATTTTTTATGGGTCAGAGAAGCCCCAGAAACTCCCTGTTCCCAACAGTACATCAGTGCAGACCACAGTGCTGGAAGGTGCTATTCAAACTCCTGGAAGAGAAAAGGTGTCAATAGTTTTAACTAGCCGTAAGCCTTATAGACTAGAATGCTGCCCTGTCAGACAAGATGTGCCCACTGTTGTGCAGTTAGCAGCCACTCTAGTTCATACTCACAGGGCACACAGAAAAGTCGGCCTGACAGTATGTGTGGCTTCTAAGTTTATCTCAGGGAATGGAGCAGAGATTTGACTTGAAAACAAAGGTTTTTGATTGTGTGACTAACTTTCTCACCAGGGTCCCACAGTTTGGGGGATAAAGTCACCTGAAATACTAGTATACAGGGAAAATTATGCCCAATAATTTAATACACTGCTGAATCTTGGGGCAAGTCCCACTAGAGAAGTAGAGTGCTGTGTCTTCACAAGGGATTCACAGCAGAACAACCGCTATTCAAAATTCGGTATTCCCAGCATCTGGGCCTGCCTCCACCAGAATATACTTTTTCTGGTGGATTGACCTTCTGATTGGTTAGCTAAAATCTCACCGCATAATCCTGCAGACTGAAGCAGTTATCTTTTCTTCTGTGAGGTTGTTTGTCTTTGATGATCAGTCTTACGTTTTTGAAAACACATGCATTTTTTTTCCTTTCTAAAGCTGATCTTTAAACAGATATTTTGAGTACTATTGTGTTAAGAACACTTGCTGCTCTTGCAGAGGATGTGGGTTTGGTTCCAAGCACCCTCACATTGGGTAGCTTACAACTGGTTGTAATTCCAGTTTCAGGGAATCCAGTGTCCTCTTGAGATCAACTGCACTCACAGTGCCCACACATATCTGTATGCATGTTTACATACATCATATATACACACATAAATAAAAATAGAATAAAATAAATGTAGATATTAAATATTCCCTCATATACCTTAAATATTTTTAATATACTCTATTTCTAACCAGTTGTTTTAAACTTCCAGGCTCAACTTTAAAGAAGCTTCTACACACTGGAAACTCTATTAAGGTACTCATTTTTGATGAAAGTATAATGGAATATTTCTTTAAACTTTTTTAGATTTATTTATTTTATTGTATGTGTTTGAGTGTTTTGTCTACTTGTTTGTATGTGCACCACATGTGTGCTTGGTGCCACCAGAGGTCAGAAGCGGGCACTAGATTGTCTGGAACTCGAGTTATGGATGGTTGTAATTAAAGACTGTGGGAACTCTTCCAGCATGTTTCATTTGCATCTGATAACACACTTTAAATTCTCATTTACTTATGTATTTTCTTTTATTGACATCTTTTTAATCATTTAGGACCGAAAAGGAGGAATGTGTGTCTTTGAATTCTGAAGCTAGGGTAAGACGGAAGTGAGTGTAGAGTGAATAGGGACGCGTCTGTTCACTTCTGTTGGTGCTTCTCACCATTCGGATCATGGTGAAGGTGTGCAAGGGCGCTGAGGATTGACGCAGGCAGGGAAGTAGGGAAACAGCCCTATGTCTCTTACCCAGGTCTTCAGAGTCCCATTTAGCTCCAAAGAACATTTTGTTAACATGACTGAAATTCTGCTCTGTTGTCTCATAGTGTAAATGTGGAGAGAGAGTATCTCTGCCATTGCTCCTATGGACAATTGAGCATTGATGATCGGGATAGTGTAGTCTTACAGAATGAAGCGCTATTGATAATTCAGTGGGAGCCAGGCACTGCTCGATGTGCCTTATGCGTGTTAGCTCGGTCAGTCTTCCCATTTCGCAGATGGGCAACTAAGACATAGAGAAGTCAAGTGATTCTCCATCTATCATAGCTAGACAGTAGCAGAGGGTAAATTTGAACCCAGGCTCCCTAGCTTTGGTGCCCAGTCTCTTAGCCATTGGACTACATTACATTCTTGCTTCTTAATGAGAGAAGAGCTTGTGTACTTGATATCTTTATCCTCTCCACTACCTCCCTTTCTCTTTTTGCGGGGTGGGCAGGATTTTGCTTTGAAGTTCATGCTGGCCTGAAACTTGAGATTTTCCTATCTCAGATTCCCAGGTGTTGGGATTACAGATGTTATACCACTATACCATACCTGTTATCCTCTCTCTCTTTTCTTAAGACTGATGCTGTATTGCAAAGCATTTCTACAAATATGTGTTAAATGTTTGATTTTTGTTGATTTTAATTTTGTTTTTAGATAAGATGTGAAGGAATCAGACTGTTTCTTTTGTGGCTTCAAGCACTTCAGACAAACTGTGCAGAAGAGCAGGTGCTGATTTTCGCTTGCCTGGTGCCTGGTTTCCCAGCGGTCCTGTCATCCAGGGGCCCCTGCACACTGGAGACACTCATCAACCCTAGCCCTAGTGTAGTTGATGGTAAGCAGCATTACCAGGGCTGAATGCTAAAATGACATTTTTAATTTTTACTTTTAGATATATATATATATGTGTGTGTGTGTATTGTGTGTGTGTGTGTTTATGTGTCTATGTGTGTATCTATAAGTGTATGCCTTATGTGTGTGGGTACCCGAGGAAGCCAGAAGAGGACACCAGATCCCTCAGAAGCTTCCGTTACAACTGATTGTGAGCCATATGTGTGCTGGGAGTAACTGGTTGTGGACCATATGACATGGGAGCTGGGAGCCAGACTCAGGTCGTCTGGAAGAGCATCAAGCCAAGTGCTCTTACCTTCCGAGCCATCTCTCCTCTTGAGCTTACCTTGAGGTTTCCTTGGTGTTGATGTTCTTGAATAAAAGTCTAAAGATTATTGCTTGTGATTCACAGAGGATTCCTAAAGACATTTAGAATCCATAGGTTCAGCCCACAGTACCACAGAAAAGAGTAAAAAACCTGGGTACATGGAGTGGTGGCATAAGCCTATGATACCTGCACTTGGAGGTGGAGGTAGAGGCAGGAGGATTAGGATTTTAAGGTTATTCTTGATTGCCTAATAAGTTTGAGACCAGCCTAGACTGTATGAGAGACTCTTGTCTTAAAAAAACAAAACAAAACAAATGAACAAACCAGAACAAAAAACCTGGAGCCTATTTTCTACTAAATTATAGTGAGAATATTTGTGAAGTGACAGAAACAGGAGTGGAATGCAGGGGCAGATGTTGGCTGTAGTATGAAGTAACAAGTGCTTTGTGTCAGCTAATGAAATTTAAATGTCCCCCCTATCCACCGCCTTTTGTTCTTATCACTAGTGTTTCTTTAAGAGGCCATTCATCTCACTTTGCCAGCTGTGTTTTTCCATGTAGCATTTATAGAAGGACTGTAGTGGCCTCATTGGTCTATCTGTGTCCTGTGAGTGTGAACTTACTGTGTAACACTTCATTGCATTGGATTTTAGGCTAACAAAACCAGAATTTGATGGGAAAGAATGGTCCAGAGGAAGAAAAGGCTTCATGGACTTTTATGCTGGGCCCTAAGCCCTAGTTCATGCTGGTTTTGGGTGCAGTTGAGCAGTTCCAGTAGCTGGATAGATGTGTTGTAATAGAGACCATTTCTAAACTCCTATTTAAAATTGATGAATAACCTCATAATTATTTTTTACCCTTTAGCAAAAATATACCCAGAAGAAATCACCCCACTTCTGCCAGCCGTATCAGGGGAGAAGATTGCTGAGGACCAAACCTGCTTTTTTCTTCAAATACTGTTGAAATATATGGTTATTCAGGTCAGAGGAAAAACCAAGCTGTCTCACTGATTGGTTTATTTTTGTAGGAAGGAGAATCACTGCCTCTTTTCTTTCTGTGTGTCTGTATTGCTTTCACTGGGGTGATTTTTATGTAGTGATTCATTAAACACAAGGCATGCATTATTGCTGGGCCACTTCAGCAAGACTTGGTGTGAGTACTTTTTGTGTGAGTTAAAGTATTACATCATTTGGCGATTTCATACACAAATGAAGTATATTTATATCATCTTCATACCTCTTTCTGCTACCTCTTCCTGTCTCTTCTTTCCCCATCATCCTTCTAACTTCATGCTTCCTCCTCTTCCTTTTTTTTTTTTTTTTTTTTTTTTTAAATGTCAGAGTCTCACTATGTAGCTCTGGCTGGCCTGAACTTGCTATATAGATCAGGCTGACCTTAGACTCCACCTATGGCTGCCTCCTGAGTGTGCCAGCTTACCCAGCACCTCTTTTTAAAAATAACCCATTGAGTACAATTAGAGCTGTTTAACTAGATGTGCTTATATGCAGGGCCATCTATTGGACCATGGGTAGCCTACCATGGGCCACACTGCTGAAGAAAACTGACTCTCCTTCACCCAGCAGCTACCACATGCCAAAAGCTCCTCCTCTGTCCATTTTAGAATGTTGACTGACTTGACCCTGTGAAGGCAACCACAGCTCCTGTGACATGCCCTGCCCTGTCTAGGAGACAGCTATTTTGTCGTAGTCCTTCTTGACCTCTGACATTTAGAGTTTTCCAGTCCTCCTTCCAAGATGTTCCCTGAGCTATGGGACAGGGGTAATACATACAGGTGTCCTAGGTGGGACTGAGCACAGTCACTTATTCTATGTACTTGAACAGTTGTGAGTCTCTGTATAAACCACCATCCAGCACATCAAGAAGCTTTTCTGATGAGGGATGTGAGGTGCTAACTATGGGAATAAACAAGAGTGTTTAGAAGGCAGTTTGATAGTGTGTCCCTTTAGCAAAATAAGTGGGATCTGCCCTAGGGCCTGTGATACTCAGTCATGGGTTCTTGGCCAAGTTTACAATACCTAAAATTTGTATCATCTTTTGAGCTTTGTTGAAATATGATTTCATTATATTATTACCAATATTGTCATTTAAACATTTATAATAGGAATCTTAATCTAACATCATTTCATGTTTGTATATATTAATTTAAACTGTAAATATACATATGTTCTTTCCCACATATTATCTACAGGCTGCAAGTTTGGAATGGAAGAATAAGGAGAATCAAGATACTGGTTTTAAATTTCTTTTTACATTGTTTCGAAAGTATTATCTTCCTCATTTGTTTCCATCATTTACTAAGTTAACCAATGTCTACAAACCTGTACTTGGTAAGTGCTCTTTGATTCCTGTGTGGATGTCATCCACAGAGAAACTACACAGTAGATTTCATAATAATCCCTTTAGGCAAAATAGTCACACTAAGTTCATATTGAATGGTAATGTTATTGTGGGAAGATAATGTTACTTAATGAACAATTCAATTATGTGAACTCACTAAGAGATTTTTGCCTCATGGAAATAATTGAGGCAGGAGAATTGTGAGTTAAAAGCCAACTTTAGCTACATGTAGAAATTCTGTATTTAAAAAGAAATAAGAAATTATTTATTGTCAATGTTTTAGCTTCAACAAGGTACTCCAGGAATATAGGAAGTAGTTAAATTACAAGGTAGGGCTTATGGCAAGTTCCTATCTCAAATCCAGCCATATAGAATTCGTATTTGATGAAAGTAATGAAGATTGAGTTTCTGAGTTCATTTAGTTGAAAAGTCTTGGCTTCCTAAGTGTCGGGATTACAGAGTTGCACCACCATGAATAACTTTAGATATTTTTTGTTAAAGTTCATGTTTGCTTTTAAGTTTGTTCCTGTCATAAAATAACATTAAATTAGCTGTTCAAGAAATGAAGATATATTTACTATTATAGTCTCAAATAATCCTCAAAATTGACCAGTTAGCATATTGGTATACTATTGCAGTATGTAGGTAATAACAGCCACCTCTTTTTATTTATATTGCAAAACACAATTAGAAAGAATGAAGCCTTCTGGAAGATGCTATTTTTAAACATTTATAGGTCATCATCTTTAGTTGCTATTCAAACAACTAAATATTTGTTTATTAATTGAAACCATTCATAGAGATTATGTAATGTTAAGATTCACTAACTTAATCATGTTTTTTTCATCCTATCAGAAATTCCCCATTTGAGACCAAAGCCAATATATGTTACTGTAACTCGAGATAATGAAACAACTTACAGTACAAAAATTCCATACATGGCAGCGCGTGTTGTTTTCATTAAATGGATTGTAACTTTCTTTTTGGAAAAAAAATATCTAACTGCAACACAAAACACTAAAAATGGAGGTGATGTATTGCCTAAAATCATCCAGGTATGCCAGCCATTGTTTAAAATCTCCTTTTTCTCACATAATAAACACACTTGCACATTAGCAAAGTCACTGACTCTTAGAACTGTGGTTCTTGTAGGTTTTGATTTACTGGCTCATTTGTCTGCGGGGCTGAGGTTTCAGAGGGAGCTTTGGTCTGAAGACCTTGTCATGCAGTACTGGAATTGCTACAAGAAGTCAGTCTCAAGGGCAAGGAGAATTCTGAGAAGATAGCTCTTATGGGTACTCTTGTGGGTACTCTGCTGCTTCCCTTCTTTGCTTAAGTGTTGTGTCTTCTGAGCACAGTCACAGGCTCTTGTCTTCATCAGTCACCAGTAGCTGGAAGGCCCTCAGGTTATGTAAATGTGGCCTATGGAGTGGGCTCATGCTTTCCCATATTCTCTGGCATCTCAGGAGAGGGTGTGTACTAGCAGCTCAGGATCCTGGGGTAGCTATTGCTTTATGATGCTGTTCCTAGAAAGAAGTCTACCTTTGTTTAAGGCCTTGATAAAAGACTTCTTAGGTTGAAGGGTCTTCAGTACGTCTGCTTGGTAGAGTACTTCTGTTTTTCAGAACTTAGAGATCAGTCACATTACTGAAGGGTCATGGCTTTATGTAGGTTGATTACTTTTGTTTCTTGTTCCCAAGAACATGGCTAGCAAGTATAGTGCACTTACTAAATATTTGCTGATATCAAGGGCGTTCCAGACAGTGACAGGACATTGACCCAAGCTGGGGAAACATAAGCTGGAGGAAGCAGATCAGAGTTGGTATACTTCAAGGTCATTAGTGCCTTGATGGAAGGAGGACTACCAAACATCTAGAGCCTGTGGATCTGCTGTAGAGGACTTACTGGAGACCCAGAGGGCAAACTTGTTTTCAAAAGCATCTCGGGATAAAATTACAGTAAGAACAACCGAGGGCTTGCTGAAAGCTCAAAACAAAACCCTTTAATTTCATACTTTGGAAGTTAGAAGATGAAATGAAAATGGTAATGATTATATTTATTTTCTTAAAATTTTTATTTCAAATTTAAAATCTATTGTTTCATAGGTCTAGAATGAGTGAACTAAGTGAGGTGGTTATACACTTTTAATCCCAGCACTCCAGAGGCAGAGATAGGTAGATCTCTGAATTTGAGGCCAGCCTGGTCTACAGGGTGAGTTTGAGGATAGCCTGTACTATTGCACACTGAAGCCCTGTCTCAAAAAACCAAAACCAAAACAAAACAGCAACCACAAAACAAAACAAAGCAAAAAGTTACTGTCCTTGTCAAGGTGATCAAAACTGTTTCAAACAACATACAAGTTTTATAAAATATATTAAAAAATATTTTAAAGTTCTGTTTCATAAGAGAATTTACATTTTTCCTGAATATAAAGTGGTTTTGGTCTTCTGTTCCCCAAGTGAAATAATGTCCTTGTCTTGGTCTCAAACTAGTTTTTTTTGACAGGGAGAAACAGCTAATCACGTGCCTTTTAGACTTAGCTTCCCTAGCACTAGGTATATCTGCTCTTACAGATTTTCTTGTTTTTGTGATATGTTACTTAGATCTTTGTTACTGTGGCAAAAATACCTGAAATAGTCAATTTAAAATGTTTATTTTGGCTCATGGTTTAGAGGCTGAGTTTATGGTCATTTAGTCCTGCTGGTTTGAAATTGTACATCAGGGATTGAAAAAAAAAAGAGAGAGACTGCAAGGCAGCTGGCATATTTATTTGTATAACTCTTTAGTTATATTAATAAAACATTACTTTTACTAATTCTGAGACAATTCTCCCAGTGATCTACAGGCTCTTGGGACGAATGGATAGAACAATGACACACATAAGCTGACATCCCAGCAGAACTTTATACATTTGTTTGTTGACTCTGTTGTAGTATTCTCTGTTGCTCTTGAGCTTTGCAGAGGCAAGGATAGGACGTGCCGACCACGTTGGCAGATCAAGATAGAGAAACTGAGTGTCCTCACTCTCAGGCAGCACCGACAAAACAACCGAGACATTCCCTCAAGAGTTGCTTTGTGGGTAGTGGGTGTCCGTATTTATACTGACCCTGAAAATGAGCATGCATGAGCAGTGGGGTTGAGAGGGTGCCAGGGTGGTAGAGCGATTGATATGGGGAGTAAGTGACAGTCTGTGTTATATGGATTTCTGAGCTGAGCTGTGATAGTGCTGGCCTGGTCCTGGTAGGCATGACTGTTCCCTGATAAGGCTTTTTTTTTTTTTTTTTATGTTCCAGAGGACTAAAAGTCATGTCTGCATAGACCAGCAGGATGGACTCATGCTAAAAGAGCTTTGAATTTCAGCTGAGTCTACTGGATGGGAGACAGGTCTCTTTCTGGAGCTAGTTCTTCATACTTATACAGCTATCTTTTTAGCTCCGGAGCTTATGTTTAAATGACTTGATGCTACATAATTCTCCATGCTGTTTTAGTTATTTCATTGCTGTGGTATAAGCTGCCTCAAAATGTAGTGTCTTAAAGCAGAAACCTTTCAACCTTATTTTTTGATTTTATTTGTGGTACAGAATCTGGCTTAAAACAGCTTGTGTATTTTATGCACTCTTGGGTGGTGACCTTTAGCTGGGGTTGGCTGGTCTGGAGGATCTAAAATGACTTCATTCCCATGCCTGTTAATGCTAGTTGGAGAGAAGCCTGGCTCATCTTGAACTAGTCTACACTGTTTCACTAGCAAGATCATTTGATTTCTTATGTGGCCCCTGGGGGCTCCGAGAAAAAAATGTTTTAAGAGTTGGAAAATGTTAACTGTTCACCTTTTGGGCCTGGTGATTCTCAGTGCTTTTGTTATAAGCAGTCTTCCAAGTTTTCACACCTCTGTGGTAGTAGAGTAAATGAGAAGTGTAGCGCTCTGGTGTGATGATGACACACATTGCATTTACACCTTATTTTGTGGTTTCACAAATGCAAATTAAACTTTTTAGCTGACAAAATTTCACAGCCCTCTTTCCTGAAATAGCTTCGTAGTTTTCCTGTTAAAGTCACTGAGTTGAGAACTGATTATTTGGTTTATTAGAAAATTGGTAAGGAGAGGTTCAAGAGTCATGTTTCCGGCACCTTGTGATACCCTGTGCAAGTTGATGGTAATCAGAGTACTTAGAAAAAGGCAAGACCTGAGTCTGGGGATGTGGATCAGTGGCAGAGCACAAGCTCACTTATGTGAGATTGTAGGTTCCTTCTCTAGTACTGCAATATTCACAGAACCCAAGAGGCAATGAGCAAGACAAGACTCACATTTTACTTGGTACTGGTGAGTGAGGATGTGGATCGCTGAGACATGTGATGACATTTTCCAGACTGGTGGTGGTGGTGCAGCCCAAGAAAAGGTGCCCGAGCTGGATGGTGCTGGGTCCACAGAGCAGGACAAAAGCCATTCTAACAGCAGCACCTTGTCTGACCGAAGACTCAGCAACTCCAGTCTTTGTAGCATTGAAGAAGAGCATCGAACAGTGTATGAAATGGTGCAGCGGATCCTCCTGTCAACACGGGGTTATGTGAATTTTGTGAATGAAGTATTTCGACAGGTCAGTGTATGACATACATTCATGAAATTGAACTCATCTTTGTTCTTGAGTTAGTCAACTTCCCATTGTCTAACACAAGCCCGGGGGCATCAACTTAAATATAGGAGGTGTATTTTGTCTCAGTTTCAGAGGTCTCAGTCCAGGGTCACGTGGTCCTGTTGCTTTGGGCCTGTGGCAGGGTGGAATTCAGGTAGGGACAGGAAGCAGCTAAGCCTGTTTACTTAGTGGGTGGTTGTGAAAAAGAGAGAGCCAGAGACTAGAGCCCTACAGTCTTCTTTGAGGGAACATTTTGCCATGACCTTTACTATCACATTAAGCCATACTTTCTTAAAAAGTTTATGTCACTTCTGAATAGTGCAAGCCAGAACAAGATTACACCTGGGCCTAGGGGAGGATGTGGGTATTCCAGATCCAAATTGTAGCATTATTGCTTTATTTATGATACAGCAAGTGTTGATAATTTGGCCCAAATTATAGAACTAAGTAAAGGCCCTTCCAGGCCCACTTTTAGTTTGTCACATGTTTCTATGACCCACAAAAAGTTTTTTTTTTTAATCATTATATAATGAAGGAAAGAGGTAGGTTGTTGACAGAGCTTTTTGTCCTGCCACATCCCATAGCTGTTTAGTCCCAAAGAAACACACAGTCTTACATTAATTTTAAACTGGTTGGCCTATAGTTCAGGCTTCTTATTAACTCTTATAACTTATATTAGCCCATAATTCTTGTCTGTGTCAGCCACGTGGCTTGGTACCTTTCATCAGCGAGGCATTCTCATCTTGCTTCCTCTGTGTATGGGTGACAACTGCAGACTAAGCCTTTCCTCTTCCCAGAATTCTCCTGTTCTGGTTGCCCTGCCTATACTTCCTGCCTGGCTACTGGCCAATAAGCATTTTATTAAAATACAAGTGACAAATCTTTACAAAGTACAAGACCATTGACCCACAGCAGTAGGTGGATAGAAAGCCAGCTATTCTTAGTACTTAGCACCAGGTGAATCCAATGTTCCCAGAGCTTCAGAGCTCACACAACCCAGAGGGTTTTTCAGAAAGTTGTATTTTCCATGAATCGTTGTGTGACATGAGTATGTGATAGAAATGTTTGTGGCACAGGAGAAAAGAAATGGATGAGAAAGGGAGTAAAGGGAGAAAGGCATGGGTTTCATCCAGGACAGTGGAATATCATACCTCCCATAGTAAGGTGCTGGGAAGAGCTGAGGCAGGAAGCAGGAAAGAGCAAGGCAAAGAGAATGAAGGGATCAGAAGCCAGGCTGCAACTGATGCCCGAGGTTTGCAGCAGGGTTGGTGCTGAGTGGGACATGACAACATTTGGGATCAATTTTGACTAGCATTTTGTGGCTAGCCAATTTTATTACATTATCAATTTATCTTATAAGGGAAAAATGTACTGCTGAACTGCGATTAAAAGCCAGTAATCCTAGAATTTGGAGGCAGGAGGACAGGAATTTAAAGCAAGCCTCAGCTACACAGCTAGCTTGAGATTACTCTGGGCTCCATGAGACCTTCCTTGTCTCAGAAGACAAACTGAGTAACTAACTAAATAAATGTGTCATTATCAGAAATTGATTAGGAATCATAATATATAGGGTTGTTTAATCTTAGTTTTGTATTTAGCAAATCCTTCATCTTACTTAGTTCCACAACCTTAGAGTACAGAGTATTTGCTTTGTTGTATATTGTGCTTTTTCTTTTTCTTTTTCTTTTTCTTTTTCTTTTTTCTTATCATTGAGTGGTTTCAAGAAGGTATCCCCAAACTCACTTTCTTTGGTCCTTTGAGAATAGTGAATGTAGGTTTTTATTTTTTGTAGTTTATTTTGTTTTGTTTTTGTTTGCTTGTACATGTAGCCAGAAGTTTATTTGGGTGTAATAATCTTAGGTTTACTCTTGCACTTAGGAATTTGTAACCAGACCTCTTTCAACATACAAATGAGATCCAGGGAGACTATAAGAACTTCAGTTCTAAAGTTGAAACTTGGGGATTTGTACTTTTAAAATTCTGAAAAACATAAACTTGAACATGTTTGAAGTAAGCAAGAAACTAACACCTGACAAATACATACTAGAAAAGGAGAAAACAGAATTTAAAATGAAAAATAGTAATAATTGGGATGTTTATTAAGCCAGAAGGGAGTTTCAGTGTTTAGTCTTAAAGCAGAATGGTGGCATCAGAAGACACACTAAATTGAGTAAAGAAATGATCCTGCATGCAGCTCAGAGTGACAGGTGAAAACTGGGACAGGTTGGAGCAGAGGCTCTAATAAGGAGGCTTGGTAACTTCCTTGCTTCTCTCCCTGTTGTCTTTGCTTTCTATTCAGTGAGAATATCCTGCAATAGCCATAGATTTTTTTCCCCCTTTGAAAGTCTGAGTATCTGCAGCATTTTTACATAGGCATCAGTTGCTGCATAACTGCCTGTGCTGGCTAGTTTTCTGTCAACTTGACACGAACTAGAAGAGGGAGCCTCATTTGAGAAAATGCTTGATTAATATTGGGCTGTGGGTAAGACTATAGGGCATTTTCTTAATTAGTGCTTGATGAGAGAGGGCCCAGTCCTTTGTGGGTGGGGCCATCCCTGGACTGGTAGTCCTGGGTTATATATGAAAGCAGGCTGAGCAAGACATAAGGAGCAAGCAAGGAAGCAGCACCCTCCATTGCGTCTGCATCAGCTCCTGCGTCCAGCTTCCAGCCCTGTTTGAGTTCCCGTCCTGAATTTCTTCAGTGATGAGTGATAGGGATGCATGAGCTAAACGAACCCTTCACTCTTCAGCTTACCTTTAGCAATGTATTTATTATGGCAATAGAAACCCTGGCTAAGACACTGCACAAAGTCAAGTTTTGTTGCTACCTGGTGAAACCAACCATTTCAGAGAGAAGGTGATGGGGAAGAGAAGAGCTTTATTGACAACAAGTTGGAAAGCTGGTAGATGAGGACTCTTGGGTGTTTAAAAAAAATAGAAACATTTTATGAGGAGTTACAGGTACAGAGCTTTATAGGGATTGATTTGGGACAGGGACATAGAGTGGACAGACCTTTGAAATGTGCAGAAATGGCAGTAATTATGACTTTTCTGTAGTTTGCTTTTCTGATGCACAGACTGTTGGTATCCATAAGTCAGCAGAGGTTCTGTGTTTGTTCTGTAAATCTAAAGAAAAGTTGCTGATTAAATAGCTTTATGTCCCATGCCATTTTAAGGTCTTTTCCTAGGAATAGCTAACTCTGCAGTTACAAAAGTGTGTGGAAGGAATCTTTCATCACAGGATAGCTGAAGGCAACTGTCTCTGCAGAACAGGGGAGGATAGCTAAAAGAGCAACTTTCCCTGAGTAAGGTAGTGAAATGAAGCTTCTCACAAAAGAAAGAATTTAACCCAGAGGTGTCCTTTGTAGCAAAGTTGGTGAGAGACCTGCAGCAGACTGCTCAGCTGTGTGACAGCTGAGCTCAGGGATTTTTAAGATGGATTAAAACCATCTGAAAACTATGAAGCTAGACTATTAAGATAGAGTTTCCCCTCTGTAGCATTAGTATACATTTAGTTACTATGCCTTCCTGTGGATTAAATAGTTATTGTTGAAAAGCTTCCAGTTTTAAAATTTATTTAAAATTAAAATATAATTGCAGCATTTCCTCACTTCCCTTTTCTCCCTCCACCTCATATCCTCCATAATGAATTCCACATTACGAAATGAATGTGTTTTGCCAGTGACACACTCCTTTAATCTCAGCACTTGGAAGGCAGAGGTAGACAGATCTCAGTGAGTTCGAGCCCAGCCTAATCTATAAAGTGAGTTCCAGGACAACCAGGACAGTTACACAGAGACACATTGCCCTGAAAAACCAAATCAAACAAACAAATAAAATGTATATATGTATACCATACTTTTCAGAACTGCTATATTATATGCTACATAATATATATATACATACATACATACATACATACATACATACATACATATATCGTATTCATTTAGAATTCTACAAATGCCCTTCTTATGATATTTTGTTCCTTGCCAATTTTCTGACCTAGGATAATTTCCCTTTAGGTCTGAAGGACAATTTTTAGTATTTTCCTCTATTGGCAACAAATTTTCTTATCTGAAAATGTCGCTTTTGAAGAATGTTCTTTCTGGTGCTCTATTATGTCTATCCTGGTAGCCATGTGCTCTCTGCACTTTGAGGAACATCAGCCCTTGTTTCTGTTTAACAGGCACAGCGGGCCATGTGGTTTGTTGCTTTGAAAGAAATATGTCCTTTTTTTTTTTTCTTTTTCTTTTTGCCTCTTGACTGCTTTTAATGTTTTCTAGTTTAATTGTCTTTCGTCTTCAGCGGTTATGCTGTAAAATTCTTGTATCTAGTCTGCTTGCTTTTGTGATTCGTGATTGTGTGGATTTATTCTTTCAGCTCAGCCACTCTTGCATACTGCTCTGGTCCATATTTTGTGACTCCGTCTAGCTCTGCATAGGGTGACCTTGTTATTGCATTGCCTCTTTGCCTCTGCTTACTATTTACTGCATGCTAGAGATTTCCCTCATATTTCTCCCAGTTTTCACTTCAGCTGGGTCCCTTTTGCCCAGCCTATATGTACATAGCTTTGAATTTGGATTGTTTTGTATTCAGACTTCACTTACTTCAGGTTCTGATATTCCTGATATATAGATTTTTTGTTCATTTGTATCTTGTCTGGTTTTTTAAATTATGATTTTATTCAAATTGACTTAGCATATTTTCCATGATATTTAGTAGTATGTTATTTATTATATTGTCTTAGATGTTTGTAGAAATATTTTTGTGATAT